TGAATTTGCTGTCCACTATCACACCAAGATCTCTGAAGTCATTTGTACAACTGAGAAGATGTTGATCTATATAATATTGATGTGGAACTAATGTTGATCTCGAAGATGGAAGAAATGAGCAATGACAGCATTTACTCGGAGAGAGTGGCAACTGCCATTTGATACTCCAAGCTGTTATATCGTTGATGGCCTGTTGAAGTTGAACTGAGTTGGATGAACGGCTGTATAGTTTAATATCGTCAGCGAATAGCAAACTTGAAACTGAAATAGATGAAATGCGTTCAACAATGTCGTTAATGAAGACAATGAATAGAGTTGGACCCAAGACACTGCCTTGGGGGACACCACTGGTAACCGATACTGAATTGGATAATTTGTTTTGAATTCTAACAAGCTGGGAACGTTGAGACAAGAAGTCCGACAGCCAGGCAAGCAGATTACCAGATATTCCATAGGATCTCAATTTTCCGACCAGTTTCGAGTGTGACACAGAATCAAAAGCTTTTTGGAAATCGAGGTAAATGGTGTCACAGCCTTCTTTGTTCTGACGAAGTGATATCCAGTCGCTGTAAAATTACATTAAGTTGGTGCAGGTTGATCTACCAGGTAGAAAACCATGTTGAAAATGCGTAATTAGTTTGTTTTCTAAAAGAAAGGATAGTATTACTTTGTTTATAATCTTTTCCATTGCTCTACAACTTGAACTCGTGAGTGAAATAGGTCGGTAGTTGCTGGGGTGGTTTGTGGGACCCTTTTTATGAATGGGAGTAACAATAGCAGATTTCCATTTAGTTGGTAGCTGGTTATTTCTAAATGATAGATCAAAAATATGACATAATGGAACTGATAGGTTAGATGCACACATCTTCAGGACAACATTCGGTATACCATCTGTTCCAGCTGAGGTTGAATTTTTTAAGTTACGCAGAGTTGTATACACTGTATGGGGAGTGAAACAAATATCTTCTAACAAGTTGTTGGTTAGACAAGGTATGGAACAATTGGAGTTATTATCATGTGTAAATACGGAAGAAAAATATTTGTTGAATGCATTGGTCATTATCAGCGGGTCATAGGTCACGCTATTGTCATCTAACTTTAAACTACTGACATTGGGACGCGATAGCATTTTTTTGTTGACATACTGGTAAAAACTTCTGACATTGCATTTAGAAAGCAGTTTATGTTCATTGACTATTCTGTAACTGTTTGCTAAGCCAGAACATTTTCGTGGCATATTCAAATACTGCTCTTTATCATCCGGTGAAGAAGTTCGTTTCCATTTATTCCAGTAGTGAAGTTTTACTTTATAAGACTGACGAAGTTGATAGGGAACCTGTATTTTGTGTTCTTTGCTTCTCAGAAAAGATCAAGGGATGTAAGTTGCCATAAGATTGTTTATCAAACGCTCAAAAATGTCCCAACATGTGTTGACGTCGAAGCAGTGCTGAAAAATATTGTCCCAGTTGATTAGCCTCAGGCATTCATTCATATTAGTGAAGTCTGCACTGTTGTAATTATAAAAGGAAGTGTCGCTATCATTGTTAGAGAATTTGTCAGTTGAGTTATGAGTGATGCAGTTAACTTGAAAGGTAAGGCAGTTGTGATCACTGGAAGAAAATGGACAGGAAATCTCTAACTCGACAAGTAGGCTGGCATCATCAGATAGGATCAAATCTAAAATATTATTTCCACGAATTGGTTGATCGACAAGTTGGTAGAGACCTAATTCATTGAAAAGTTCGATAAAAGTATTGTAGATGACGTTATTTGGTGCAGAATAATTATTCCAATTAATTAGTGGGAGATTGAAATCACCTAACAAGCAAATCACATCTCCCTTGCTAAGTTCTTTGATGCACCTGGCACTATCAAACGCATATTCCTCTGCTGATTTATCAAAACCACCACTTCGATAGTACAAGATGAAGCGATAATTTTTTTTTGAAATGGAAACATCAATTGAAACTTTTTCTATGTGGGAGAACTGGGATGGTATTGAAACGATCTTGTATTGAATAGTGTCATTGATGATGAAAGCCACGCCGCCACCACGTGTTGCACGATCTCTGCGAACAAAAGAATAACCGCTAGGTAAAAATAAGTTGTCAGGATCATTTGGAGTAAGCCATGTTTCTATAACAGAAAATATTTCTGTTCTGTAAACTGACAAAAATAAATTGAGATCATTTTGCTTCTTTTGAATGCTACGAACATTAGCTAAGGCCATACGAATGTGTTTATTGTTGTAGGTCTGAAAGAAAGGGCTGGGCATTTTTAGAGTTGTTGTTGGTAGTTCTGATGCGACTTCTCTCCTGTCTGATCAAGAAGGCTTGTTCGGCCTGCCTTTTGGAAAGGTCAGGGTTGATGAAGATACCTTTTGTTGTTGAAGAAGAGCGGAGGATCCTTGATGAGGCAATCAGGTCCTCAGCTGCCGATGAATTATCTAGCGTGACACATAACCTGTGGTTTCCGATACGGCGAGTTCTAGCAATTGTTGGCTTGACCGTGAGGTGGTTCTCGCATAACGATAAAACCATATCTTTGTCGTTACATCCTGGCTGCAACTCGAGACCGGAAATGATAACATTTTTACACCGACGTTCTTCATCTTTCCTTTCCTGCTCCACTGACCAAAGGGCCCTAGTCACTGTCTCAAGCATGGGAGATTCAGTAAGTTTAGTTACCTGCTTTTGACAATCAGTAACACTGGTGGCCAGTGTTGACATAGCGGAGTGAAGTTCTTTCATACATATTTCATCGGACATGCTCTTAACGGCATTTTCAAAGCTATTACTTAGAGCTTCCATTCTGATTATTGTTGTTTCAAACAGCTTGCTCATAAGGCTCTCGGAATGGGCTACTATTTTGCGCAGGTTGTCATTACATTTTTCTAATACTAGAATTAGATTCTGGTCTGACTTTTCAAACAATTTTTCTAGGTTTTTATTGGAAACATCAATAATTTTTTCAGATGGTCATTTGATTTTTCTAATTATTTATCTATACATTTCAATAAATTTTCGTTTGATTTGTCCAAAATTTTTGACACAAGAACTTCAAAACTTTCGGCTGAGACATTTTTTGCCATGATGACGAAGCACTAATAAGACAGGACAGGAAAACAAAACAGTAGAACAGTTTGAAAATATTTAATTTAAACAATTTTTTATATTTTTAGAAGTGACTTAACAAATTAACAGTTTTGCGGTAGAAATTAAATATGCTATAACTAGAATAAATAAGAAATTTTAAGTTTTAAATCGAGAAATTACAATATCTACAAGACGTACGAGAAGCTAACCACGAAAATAAAAAAATTCCCAACTGATTTTAACATAATTTTTACATCTTTATAAAATATAACTCAGATGATGTTTCATTTTAGATTGCTATGGAAGTGCTAGGCATACATACATCCCCATTGGAAAAGAAAATGCTAAAGTTCAATTTCAATGACACATTAATAAGCAGCATTGATCATAACAATGACGGCATCACAACGTTATGTGATATTGATGATGATGATAAGGAAGAAGAAGAAGATGATGATGATGGTGATTATCTTTTAAAATATAAACTGGAAAATGTGCTGAGTGAAAAGTTAATCGAGATAAAAAATGAAGATGATGAAGAAGGGGAAGATAGTATAAGTAATATCATCAACAAATACTCTTTAAAACTTTCAAAAAACAAAGAAAATGTCGATGATGTCAAATTAGAATCGCTGTCATCATTCTCGCTTTTGCAAAGGTTAGAAACTACTACACCATCATCATTGTCGTCACAACCGTCATCATCTCATCGGCATCTCGGATGTACTGATGAAAAAATAACGCCACCACCGTCGTCGTCATTATCATCACTGCTATCGTCTGAGGTGGATGGGGGCTTGCTGAAATTTGACCACCTGGATCTGAGAAGAATCACACTATCATCATTTGAAACAAATACTCCTCAGTTGCCCTCTCGAACTTTATCACAATTCAAAAAATCATCTCTGGCATCTGTCGTTGGCCAAAGTTTCACTGAAAATGTTGATGGTGATTTTATTGATGATAATGTAACTACTGCTACTGCTGCTACTACTGCTACTACTACTGCTGCTGCTTCTTCTCATGGCTCTCATGTTGCAAAGCTTATTGAAGATTATAAGCATGGTTTAATTAATGAAAGCATTAATGTAAATAGAAAAAGTAGTGGTGATGATATTTCAATTGGTAACACCAACAAAACATCGCTAGCATCATCATTGCTCGGTTCTAGACAAAATATTTCTTCAAATCATGACCAGCTTAAACAGCATAATAACTTTGATAGCATGCCAAGCAAAGATAACAGTGTGCCTATCCATAATCAATTCAACAACGCTAACAAATCCAACAACACTAATTCACGTTTATCACCTTCAAAAATGTCCACAACACAACAAAAACAACAATTTGACATCAATCCCAGTACAGAAACATCGTTGAACATCAACAGCAATATCCTACTTAATATCAACAACAACAACAACGACGATAACATCATCATCATCAACAACGGTGACGTCATAATCAACAGTCATGATCATCTCACTCAACCGCCACCATCGTCGTCAGCGGATATCCTCACAGATATTATGAAAGGGCTAAACATGCAGGCCGTTGACAACAACATATTTCTGGAAGAATTCAACAACACCCTACCCGTTGATTTTAACGATTCTTTCAACAACAGTTTCAACAACAACAATGATAATAATGATAATAATAATAATAATAGAAATGATGATGATAATATTCTAGCAAATTTTCGCAGATTTTCCAGAAAATTCCAGATTGACTCGTCGTCTGATAACATTTTTGATACTTCTAGTACAAATATAGATGCTATTGGTGCGCCTTCGCACTCCACAGCATCGCTACCTTCATCTTTAATCGCATCATCATCAGCACTCTTCAAGAGTGAAGAAAAGAGTGATAATGATGGTGATGAGGATGATGAATGCAGTCTCATTAATTTAGATGGTTGGCTGATGTTTTTCAATCATATTCTAATTTGATTTTTGAAATAGCTTCTTTATGATCTGTATAATCTTTTTAAAGTTAATCATGCAATAATATTTTTATCCATCTGACAGATTTCGACGATTTCAACTTATTATCCACAGCACCTCCTGCTTCCAACTCGAATAACGATTCCTTGCTTTAAATTTGTTTTTCTAATTTTAATAAATTTATAAATAATTAAATTAATTATTATTCTTGACTCACTTGTAGATAAGTTTATTCATCTTTTATGTGCATCATTATATTGTTGATAATATAGCTTATGGGAACACGAACGGACGTACTATCATTTGTACATTTGTACATCATCTTGTATGTATGTTGTTGGTTTTTCAAAAATTCTATGAAAAAAAATACATTTCGATTTCGGTTGCTATTGATACAAAGTTGGTAGATTGACTGAGTATCTATAAATAATTTCATTTATTATATTTAATATATTTTGTGAACATTTTGTTTAAAGAATCACAATAAATGCGATGTAATATCATGCCTATGTATTCTCCGTAATTACGTTCGAATGTTTTCATGTCTACATGTATATACATACATGGAGCACTGCTGTAGCAATGGATTTCAATCAGGGTTTGTACCTATTTCTTTTCATTTTATTTTCAAAGAATTTTCCACATATATAGCGAGACAAAAATGCTAATTTGGCACTAGTTTCTCATCATCAATAGTTGCGTCGAAAAATGCTTATTTCTTTTTAATCTCAGATCAAAATATTTTCTATTTACACTGAAATTAGCACGGGCTCATCACAGCAATAATTTATTAGAATTCTACTTAATTAAAAATATATATTAATTAATTATACACAACTAAACAAATTAAAATTGTTAAATAATAATTTTATTTTTTCCGTAAAATTTCATCATTCTAGGATGTTCTGTGTCTTTGCATCTTCAGGATCCTGGATTTGACATCCGATATTTCCTGCTCGTCGATGATCCTTCGCAACCATTCCTCATCTTCTTCGGCATCATCTTCACCATCTTCATCCGTCTGTTCTTTCTGTCTCATGCGATCAATGTATATATACATGATTCGATGGTCGATTTATGATTGGTGAATAAGGGCAGTGTTGTTTGTAGTTTTATAATTTTTCGGTTTGCTAAGCTATGGTAAATTAAATAATAATATCGAAGAGATAATGATACACCTATAAAACATGAAGATTTTGTAAACGATAAGAAAGACACAAATATGCAGACGTCAACTTTTCCCACTTCCAACCAGCCGGTAAGTAAATAATCCCACCACGTCACTCACGTCAAGTGCATCCTCCGCTCCACTCTCAAAGGGGTAATCCTTGTAAGTCCTCTTCATCCCGCCCCTAATCACGTGATCCGGAATTTGGGATGTGCCGTAGAATTGGATCTGGAGGCCCTTCAAATATCCCCAATGATTTCCTTCCACCTTGTAAAATATTTTTCACTGAATTGCTTTTGGGCGAATAGAACTTTACTGTGGTTAATGGTGGATTTGAAATGACAAACGATGCGTCAAAATGTTGATTCGCTAAACAAACAAGATTTAAAATCCCCATCATAACTTCATCGCCACAAATTGTTTCATCTCATCTCATCGTCGTCGTCGTCGTCACCATTATCCCAACAATAACTTACGTTATCAACGATGGTGGTGATCCACAGTCCCCTCGGATCCTCTCCCCAGTTGTGCACGGAGCTGAGCGGCCATTTAGGGAATCCGGTTGTCGCGTTGTCAGTCTTTCTCACCGTCAACATTTCTGTAACCATGCCTAAGAGTACGCACGTGTGTGTGTGTGTGTGTGGGTACGTATGTTTGTATGTGTTTGTGTGTGTTTGTCTTTGTCTTCGCGTTTTTGTGTAAGTGTGTGTGTAAGAGTGTGTATGGTCGTGTGTGCGTGTGTGTGTGTGTGCAATCTGTAAAACATTCACATTCACATGTGCTTATGAATGCATGATTCGGTCTCGAATATTTGTAGATGGAATAACAGAATAAACGAATAAATAAACGAGTGAATGAGTAAATGAACGAATGAATGAACAAATAAATGATGAATGAATGAATAGATGGATGAATGAATGAATAACTGATTGAGTAAATGAATGAACGGACAAATGAACGAAAAGAACTAAGTACTACCTGACGGGGACTTGAGATGCACTTGAACGTTACCCCTCCTAGTATAGTTCATGTCCAGAACCAATATCTGTTCATTTATCATTTCATTCATTCATTCATTTAACAATTTAGTAACTATTTTAAAAAATAAATTCCAGAAAACAGAAATTTTGAAAAATGTTTCAATTTATTTATTATTTTTTAAAAACTTCTGAAAATAAAAAAAAACTTGTAAGGAATTGAAATATAGACAAGATGGTGACCACGTGTTCGATGTAGTTGACGAGGTTGTCAGCTGTTTCGCAGGCGTCACTCCATACAGCAACTTCCAGAGATGTCTTGCTCATCAACTTCCTGGTGGTCGTCGTAATAGTTGTGAGGATGAGGAAGAAGAAGAAGATGGTGATGAAGAAGATGATGATGAAGTAGAAGGTGACGAAGAAGAAGATGGTGATGATGATGAAGTAGAAGGTGGCGAAGAAGAAGGTGGTGATGAAGAAGATGATGATGAAGTAGAAGGTGACGAAAAAGAAGATGGTGATGAAGAAGATGATGATGAAGTAGAAGGTGACGAAGAAGTTGAGGATGAAAAAGAGGATGAGGAGGAAAAAGATGAAAAGGATGAAGAGAGATGATGATGACAAAGAAGGGGCTGAAAAAAGTTAGTTGGATAAAGATACGATATATGACAAAATAATGAAGTAATATTTTAGATGTGTTGCTTTTTAATTTGAATCACTCACTTGCTTAATGGAAAAATTTTTATTCTAACAAATAAAATATAATACGACTTAAATCAAAAAATTACTAAATATATTTTCATTAAAATCCCAAATTAAGTGAAAGAGAACCTCGGCAGAGCAGAAGGTTCAGGCATGGCGATACAGAGAGACTGCTTAGGAACGGATTTGAAAACCTTGGGATCAGCTGCCTCGACCAGCATTGCTGCATTCAACAGACCAAATCCAAATCTGTTGTTCACCCAAAAACCTGCCCCATTAACCATCCAGCCTAAATTTTATTGTAAGAGGGTTTTGTAATTTTTATTTTTGCTGTTGTTACATCTTTAAAAATGAATTAAAAATATTGTTTGTTAATAAAATTGCGATTTTGGCAAATTTACTCTAGGTTTGTAAACCAAGCTGACATAGTGAGGAAAATGAAACAAACTGAAAATATACTGAATAAACATAAACAACGAAACCCTTATTTTTCCTCAGTGGTTCGTATTCTGACGTCCATGCTACTAAATGTTGAACATCTCTCCACGTCAAATTGGGACTGTGAAGATGGTCGTTTGGGGTTATAACAAGTGTTCTACACACGCACATACGCACACAAACACAGACACACACGCACACGTAACCAACTTAGCTTCAAGTACCAGAGCAATGATGCCAGCAGCCAGTGGGGCTGATGCCGATGTACCCGAGTGTGCAGTGGTGCATTGGTTGTGCAGGTCTGTACTGATCTGGTGGAGAAGGGCTTCAATACAATTTTTTTCTTTTCTCCACCGAAAAATATATTTTTTAAAAAATGTTTTTGAGTAGTTTGAGATTCATTTTGAGATCAGCGAATCTTAACTATAAAAATAAATAAGATAAAGAACGCTTTTTTTAAAATAACGAAAAAAATAAAAAAGATTATAATGTAACCAACTACACAAACATCAACAACTTTCAGTTCATCATAAATTTTCAATAGGATCAACACTCTCATACAAAAGAACCAGAGAGCAACTGCAGTCTGACTGAACTAACAACTCTCTGTTCCCCGTAGACACCGCTTGAGTAGGTACTGGCAATTGTTGACGGGCAGTGCTCGGCGTACCATGGTGAGTTGAACCATTCAGATGCACTGCTGATTGACAGCGTGTATATGCTACCTGTTTGTATGTGTGTGCGTGTGTTGTGTACGTGTGTGTGTTGTGTATGTGTGTGTGTGTTGTGTGTGTTGTGTGTGTATGCGTGGAATGAATGTATAAGCAGACCCGTGTATCCATCACAATTGCAGTTATCCTTGGATATTCCTCCATTCCCTGAGGCCCACACGTAGATGACTCCCTTCCCACCTCTGCCCTGCTCACAAAAACAGTAAGTTTGAAATGAGAAAATTTTAAAAATGAAAAACATCTCATATAACTGAACAATGAAAGCATTAAATTATTGCTCAAACCGCCAACCAACGTATGTTATATACACAAGTACGAACAGCAAAGAGCAAACATCGATAACAATATGCCCGTGATGGCTCAATGGTAAAAAGCGCCTGGTCCTGCTGTTGCAGTGACTGGGTTCGATTACAAAGAGATCTCTACCTATTACATGCAATGTGTAAGATACGTGGTTTGACTGGGTTCGATTACAAAGAGATCTCCGCCTATTACATGCAATGTGTGAGATACGTGGTTTTCACGAGTATTTATATACAACAACAAATCTACAACAACATATTTTAGTAATTCATGTCACAACAACACTCAATAGCACAACGACGACGACAACAGAAAACAACACCAACACACCTTAGTAACTCCTTTCTCGAGAGCAGCCTGGGCCAACATTCCGGGTTTCTCCAGAGACTTGCCGTCGTCACTGGGCCCCCAACTGGCTGACATGATGTCTATGTGGTCAACGTTGTAGCTGAGGGATAGTGCCTCCAGACGATCCGTCGTCACTCCGTCTAACACTCGGATGCCTGGTTTCGTTGTTGAGGGTGCGATCGAAATTGTGATACGTTAAATTAATAATAATAACAATAATATTTATAATAGTAATAATAATGATGGTGACAATAATAATGATTTATCAACAATAGAACATAAACATCATAAACAACAACACAGCACCACCACCACCACCAACAACACAGCACAAACAACAACACGGCACCAGCAACAGCACAGCACCAACAACACCACAGCATCACCACCAACAACAACACAACACCACCAACAACAACACACCACCAACAACAACACAACACCACCAACAACAACAGTACCACCACCAACAACAACAGCACCACAGCGACATTTTTAGAAAGGCCCAAACCTCCGATATTGGCGTTAAATGCGATCCCGACGGCGCAGAAGTTGTTGTTTTCAACCATTGCCACCTCACCTGCACATCTTGTTCCATGTCTTGTTGTGTGTTGTTGTGATATTGTTTGTTGTTGTTGTTTGTTTTGTTGCTGTTTGTTTTGTTGCTGTTTGTTTTGATGTTGTGTGTTGTTGTTTTTGTATTTTTTGTTGTTGTCGTTTGTTTTGATGTTTGTTTGTTTTGTTGTTATTTTGTTTTGTTGTTGTTGTTTGTTTTGCTGTTTGTTGTTGTTTGGTTGTTTGTTGTCAACGTTATCATTGTTGTTTGTATTTGCTTTTGTATGTTTTTGTCGTGCGCATTTTAACTGTTTAACTTGGTTATACTGGTTGTTGTTGTTTTATTTATTTAATGGTTTGCATTAATTTTTTTGTCGTTAGAGGCGCTATTGACGTCGTTATTTTGTGTCGAGCTACCGTCATAACGACAATTAGGAGCCATCATAATCAGCTACAATTTTCATTACGATAATACCAATTTCATTGCCCATATTACTATGGCTGTATTTGTCAAAATCGTTGTCATCATCACCATCGCCCTCCTCATCATCCTCATCGTCATCATCATCGTCATCATCATCATCATCATCGTACTTGTTCTCATCACTTTCATCGTATCGTGGAAAAGGATCGCTATCATTGTCGTTGAAATCCCAACTGGCTTTTGGATCCTGGAAGGAGAAATATTATTTTGCATAATTTTCTTCCTATAAATAATAATAACAAAAATAATTATTATTTTTTTTATTATTATTCATAATATTATTATTGAAAAAAATAGCCAGAAGAATTCGTTAACATTTTTTTGAATCATCAAATGATTTAGAGATGGCCAAATGTGTTTTATTCCGCATGCTAGAGTGATAAAATCAACTTGTTGGACGCGTAGCGCGCCTAATAAATATACAATAGCATACAAAAGGGAAACATTTCTTTTGTATAGTTTATTTAACGTTTGTATGTGGGAAGGATTAGTGTGTGCATGTGTGTGCGTGTTTGTGTGTGTGTGTAAGTTTGCTAATGTGTTTGTATGTGTATGTATGTATGTATAAGTTTGTATGTGTGCGTTTGTGTTTGTTTTTTTTATAGACTTGTATGCATGTATGTATGTGTACGTTTATGCATGTTCTTGTGTATATATGTGTGTGTTTGTATGTGTATGTATCAAATTCATGTTTTGTATTTCACGTTAAGCAAACGTCATTTATTCATTCATCCATCCTAACATAATTCCTGTGAAGGTCGGTGTGGTTGTGCTCCAGGCCTGGTGAAAATAATTGTTTAAAATGTACACTGAAATGTACACAAACAAACGTAAAGTACACACACACAAATATACGCACAAACAAACAAACAAACACACGCACACAACGATACTGACCATCATCAATAATAGTGACGACGACACCTCGTCCAGTGATATTATTGGCCCAAACAGGAATGACGTGAAGATCTATTTTTGGCAGCATGCGGGCTGGTTTTGTATCGTGCTATGTGGGGATTTGTTTGTTCAGTGAAATTTCAGTGAAATAACATTTAAAAACGTACAACTGACAAGAATAAGTGCAATTATGAAAGGTACCAACCAAGTACCATTGATTCTCCCAGAAATCATCATTGAAGTTTATCTCCCTGTATGCCCTCACCTCGTGTTTGCTGTCGATGCTAATCAAATCTCGCTTGTAACGTTTCAACGGACGCTGAAGTTCGGCCAACTTTATCTGGAAAGATATTTATTTACCTAATTATACTTAATTGTACTGTTTTGTGTACTGGTACTGTGTACTCAATTGTACTGTGTACTCGAGTGTACATTTCAGAATTGAATTATTGTATTCATTAGTGCTTGTCTGCGTTGGAGGATCTGCATGTTTACATGGATCTGTGCGAACGGTGCCTGCGTGTTTACGTGCTCAGGCATACGTTTCAGGTTTTTGGAGCAAAAGTATCGAAGCTTTCACTAAGCTATTTTGTGTAATTTGTTGGCTGGTAGACGCGCCAGCTTAACGTAAGGTAAAGTCGCAATGACCAGAGCGACAACACTCAATCGTACGACAACAACACACGCATCTATGAATATTTCATCACGTCCGTTCATATTTACAACGATAAACAAAGGGACAAATTTTCTTAGCTACGCCGTTTAAGCAAATCTGCCTGTTTGTTTGCTCTGTGTGTGTGTGTGTGTGTAGTTATTTATTAGCGCAAAAGTAAGTCAGATGATGGATTTGTGCGTGTTGGATAAAATCTAAGATGCACTCATAGGCTCTCCCTCTCCTCTCTCTCTCTCTCTCCCTCTTTCTCTTTCTCTCTCACACCTACACACACAGACACACACAAACGCACACATATACACTTAAAGTATACAAGCGCAAACAGGATGAAGACCTCGGAATGGGGATATACGCTTTTTTTGCACTCTGCACGCCCAAATATTGATGATAACGTTAAAATTCCTACACCAATAAACACAAACTAACAATCAATCAATTATCAACACGTCACTGACACCACTTGACCTTATGACCTGAGCACGTGATCTTATGACCTGATCATGTGACATTTTGTTGACCTACATGCAAATTTTTGTCATTTTGGTTCTATATTGCACCCTGTAGTTTTGAAATTTTATTGGCTTGCTATAAATTCAACTTCAAGTCGAATTTGTTTTCTTAGAGACGAGAAAACAAAAAAAACACAGAAACGATGATGACTCCTGCGATGATTTGAATGGTCATAACAATGGCGATGCTGCAAATAACGATGAAGATAATGATGATGATGATTACGATAGCAGTCATGATTATGATTATTTTAATGATGATTATGATTAGGATAAAAATAATAAGGCAAAAACATTTTAGAGACAGTTTTAAGATTAACTGACAAAGACATGCTCATTATTATTTTTCAAATTCGTAAGTATTGTTGTTACACTTCAACGCTCGTCACTACCAACACCAATGTTATACTTGAACCACATTTACAAATGCTAACTCTAAAATAAAAAAATAATACAAGTGCCAAATGAAATATAAATAACTGCAAGATAAGAAATTAATGGGTACTAATATTTTGAAAACCATCTAGTAGACAGTGCAAAATAATTTATAATGAATTAAAATATAATGGAGTGTCAATAATGAGTTGAGAATGAGTGCACTAACTCTACTGTCCTGAAGCAGATGACGCTTGTGGTGTTGGACGCTGCGTTTGTGTCTTCTTCTCATCATCATCATCTTCATCTTATCATCTTCATCATCGTCGTTGTAGTTTATATTATCATCGTTGTCCTCACTATCATCTTCACTTTCATCATCACCGTTATCATCAGTGTAGATTACATTTTTCTTTAGCACATGATATCCATCTAGTATCCCAACCTATTTGGTATGTGTGTGTGTGTGTCAGTGTGTCTGTGTGTGTTTGTAGGTTATATGTGTTTGTAGGTTATATGTGTTTGTAGGTTATGTGTTTGTAGAGTTTGCATGCCAGCATGTAAATAAGTTGACATGTGCGTTGTGGTACGTAGGCGGGGAAGCACATTTGCATTCAAAACATCGCCACCCACCCGACTACTCATTCCCCTCAGAAAGTCCACGACCAACCTTTTAATTTATTCTCCAATTCATCTCTCAATGTACGGTTTATAAATAAAAGCTAATAAATCAATCAATCAAAAGTAGCACCAAAAACGGCAAATAAGATGCATCCAACATGGCGAGCGGAAGTCAACGGTCGTCCGCTCGGTCTTTTCCGGCCTTTGATGACGCATTCGTAACCAAAAATACTTAATAACGACGACGCCGGAAGAGGAAATAGATCAAAAGTAGGCGTTGACAAATATATGAGGGCATGATGATGGATGCGGAGTTGTGAGTGTTGCTCCGTTGATAATTTGATGGAGGGAAAATTAACGAAATTGAAGAATGGATTGATTTGATGAATGAATGAATGAATGAATGAATGAATGAATGAATGAATGAATGAATTAATGAATTAATGAATTAATGATCATATGTAAACAAAACTGAATTAGCATATAAAAAAACAAATGAATGAACACATAAAAAAACTAAAGAACTGAAAAATTAACAAACAAATGAATGGACAAATTAAAGCATAACGACTTGTTGAATGAATGATTGTGATTGGTAAGCCTAATGAGTAGACGATTGAATGAACGACAAGGAAAAAAATGAATAAAAAATTATAAATGCAAATTTAAATACTAATGCCATTATATACATGTTAAACAAATAATTATCTATCTATCCTAAATTTATTGAAAAAAAAGAAAATCTAAAATCAGAATTTTCAAATTAAAAAATTTGCCAATCAACTTAACAAACAAATTGAAACAATCATCATAAAACTAAAAATAACGACTACACTAACAACAAAAATAACAGCATTAACAACAAAAGCATCAACAACCACAACAACAAAAACACTCCTCCAAGACAACCGGTGAAGCGTAACAAGAAAGAGATGTGCCTCAATTTCAAACATCACTTCACATGCTGCCCCATATATCAATCTTCTCAAATTAAATTTCATTTGGCTTTTGGTTTAGTTTTGGCATAGATGCCTAGTTTTCTATTCTTTCTGTTCTTCTCTATTTGTTTAATTTTCGTATTCAGGCCAAGTTTTGTTTTTCTTTTATGTTTGTTTGCTAACCTCTGTGGTTTATATTTTACTTATTAATAATAAAAAGAATGAAATATTAACAACTTATTAAAATTAAATATATCATGTGAAGGCGTTTTTTCATTTGCGTAAACGCATATAAGCCAAAGAAAATAATTTCTTGGTGTAGTTTAATATAGTTAAGTAGTTACGGGATTTTTCTTTTACAAATTTTTGTTGTTGTAATGTTTAAATGGTTAAATAATTTTATTTCAACATTTGTTTGCGCGCGATTTCTAACATTTTCGCCATTTTGTTTATTCGCAAACATAATTTTGTTTACATCCATTATTTGAATGTTGTCATATACATAATCTTTGTTATCTTTGCAATTTAATTTTTTCGTAGCTTATATGATCTTTGTTATCACTGCCAATTTAATATCTTTCCTTTTCCGGCTTCCTTTTCATGGCGCCTGATTCATGGCGGAAGTGCCTGTAACGACTGAGAGATTTATAATTTTCATTTATAATAATAAAATAAAAATAATAAATTATTATTAATATTATTTTTATAATTTTTATTGTTTTTTTAGTTTTCTTTCTCCAGATCAACCATTTGTTTATTGCATCTATTTTTATTGGCACGTATTTCGATTCTATTTGAATGTAATAAATTAGTTAAATGGTGCTGATGATGAATTTGACGATTTAGATTTGGAGGATGATGATGACGACGAAGACGATGATGCCGACGACGACGATGAAAATAATTGTATTAGTATTAACAATGAATGAATGTAGAACGTGTCTGACAAATAGAATTGATTTATAATTATATTATTAAGATAACAAAACCCGATTAAGATGAGAAATTTCCAGGATAAACTAACTGATAATGAGTAGAATGGTTATGAAAAAACAAAAAGTGATAATGATAGATAAAGACTGTGACGATTTCACTCTTATTAAAGATTGGAAATTTTTGAAAGTGTTCCGAAAAAAAACCACAGAAAAAAAGATTCTAATGACGTCACAGTGCTCTGACGCAATTGCAGGTTACTCGAGCAGTTATTTGCGCGCCAACATAACCAAAGGTTTGCTTAATTTGGCGTCATCAATCAATCAAAAAGCGCTTACACGTTAGTTTGGCGCTAATATCATTACCATAATCACCGCCATTATCAACATCATCATCACCACCACCACCACAACCATTTCATCATCGTCATCACCGTCATGATCATTATCATCATCAATATCACAATTACCTTGCCATCCTCATCGCCATCAGAAGAACTATCATTATCATCATCATCGTCATCATTATCGTCACCATCATTACCAGCATCATAATCATTCCCACCATCACCACCATCATTATCATCATCCTAATCATCACCACCATTATCATTACCACCACAGCCGCCAACGCAAGGCACAACAAACATTTCCGATCAATTGACGGTTAAGACAACAGAATAACGTTAAGATTATGCCATTAATAAGGAGCTAAATAAACAGAACATTGCCTCAATGATACTATATCTCGCTGACATCATTACTATTTATACTATCACTAATTTCTCTTTCTCTCTCTCTCTCTCTCTTTCTATATACATATATATATCATTAGAGAGAGAGAGAGAGAGAGAGAGAGAGAGAGAGAGAGAGAGAGAGAGAGAGAGTTTTCGTATTTCTATTTATAGAATTACTGTCATAGAGCGTTGCTATTTACTATTTATATTTATAGTGATGTTAGTAAATAAAGTAATAGTAGAAGCATTAGTCCTATTTTTGAATACCATTATTTTCATCGTAATCATCATCAATATCTTCAAACCATAACCATCATCATCATAATCGTCATAATCGTCGTCATCGTCATCGTCACCAACGTCGTCATCATTATCATCTTTATAGTCATCGTCGTCGTTATAATCTTTGTCATCATTATCATAACCATCATCATCGTCATCATCATCATCATCTTCGTCATCATCATCACCGTCATCATCATCGTCATCATTATAATCGTCATCGCCATCGTAATTATAGTGGCGTTGTAGGCACCAATGTCATTCTGCAGCAGCAGCAGTAGTAGCTTCGCTGGCTTCAAAAGTACAATCGTGTCCCAATTCAATCGTTCATCATATTTACGGCCGCAGTAATCGTCATAATGATAATAATAATAATAAAAATAATAACATCAATAACAACAACAATAATAATAATAATAATAGTAATGATTACAATAAAAGCAATATAAATAATGTGGTGTAATTAATTGAGATAATGATAAAAATGGCAAACTATCATTAACACTTGAGCAAAATTAACGAAATTTTCCATGTTAAAATAGCTATAAGAGAGATTTACTTCTATCATTCAATAATAATAATTAATAATAATAATAATAATAATAATAATAATAATAATAAATAATAGTAATAATGATAATAGTAATACTAACTTGCCCTTCGTAGACATACCCCTTCCTCTTGGCCATCCTTCTGACGTCATCACTGCTGACGTCAGGTGCGTATATCGCCCACTCCAACATTCCAAATGATGATGATGATGGTTGTGATGATGATGGTGATGATTGTGGTGATGACGATGATAGTGATGGTTGTGATGATGATGATGACGATGGTAGAGATGATGATGGTGATGATGATTGTGATGGCAATGATGATGATGTAGTGGCTTCACCATTTAGGCTCTTTGGGTTTTTTAGTCTGTGCGAAAGATTTTATCACCACGGTGATGTTATAATTTTCACGTAAATAATAATAATAATTATAATCATAATAATAATAAAGACACCAATATTATGACAACTATAATTTTTACGTTTACTGACAATTCTTAGCAGTTTATTTTTTCAATTAACACAATGCGTTGTTTATTTAACCAACTTCGATGTTCCGAA